GGGGGGGGGGAGAGGGTTGGTGAGGATGTTTTTACAGCGCCGGGAGCTCTCCCTCATCCCCTTCCCTGCCCAACCTCGGGATAGAACAGCCACCCCCGGTCTCAACCCCAGCCGCGCCGCTGCCTTGACATTTAAAAGGCAGGTTAAGACGCAGATAGCGCTACTTTACAAAAGTAATAATGACGCAGGGGAAAAACACTTGCTTTTGCGTCCTGGTGAGAACGTGTGGGCCGAGCTCCATCCCTCGCCAGCGAAAATGTGCCCTTTTAATAGCACCACCAGCCAGCGGGTAACTATGGCAACCCCGTTGGGGTACGGCCGTAATTATTTGGTGTCTTTTGCTTAAACGGCTTCCTCCCCCTCTCGTTCTCCCCCACCGCCCGGCTCCCATTATCACTCCCGTGCTGTGACACGTGTGCGGTACCGTGCACCTGCCGGGGGGGCTCCTCTCAGGATTAGAACCCCCCCTGCTATAATGAGCTGGAAAAAGCGGACGGGAAATTGGCCGGCAGTGAAGGGTGATGCGTGCAGGGCTCAAGATTGAAACAGCGGGCTGCATCTGGCCACGTTACGGGCCAAGGGCTGGGCGGCTGGACTCGGTATGTACCAGCAGGCACGGCGTTTGGTACACGTGGTGCTTTTTGTTGCACGCCCACTGAACACGCACGCACATCGGTGAACGGCAGCCAGTTCTGTTGGTACACCCACAGATTCACTGCTGGTGCGGCGCAGCGTCGGAAATATCTGCTGTTTAAGTCCACTGGCATACCTACTCCCCCCCCCATGCATATGGTGGGCCATGGGCCCATGTGAAATGTGCCCCTTTCCTCTCCACCCGCTCCCCCAAAGATCCTACCTGGTCTAAGTCATAGGAGCAAGAATCGACTCGTTGCCTCAAGACGTTCCACTTCTTCCCGCGGAACAAGCGCCACAGTGAAGACAAGCCATAGATCTTCATGCAGTAGAGCCTGTGGCCCCGAGGGAGAAAAAGCACAGAGTCAGTTAGAATCATAGAATCAGAGAGTCTGAAGGGACCCTCCAGGGTCATCTAGTCCAACCCCCTGCACAAAGCAGGAAATTCACAAATGCCTCCCCTCACACCCCGTGACCCCTGCTCCATGCCCAGAAGATGGCACCCCCCCCCCAAAAAAAACCTCCAGGATCTCCAGCCAAACAGGCCTGGAGAAAAATTGTTTCCTGACCTCAAAGTGGTGATCAGCATTTCCCTGGGCGTGTAAGAAAGGGCCACAAGAACTAAGCCCTGAGGCAACCCTTCCTGCCCTCCCTCTCACGATCTTCCTAAGTTCACAGAATCAGCCCTGCTGTCAGATGGCCATCCAGCCTGTGCTTAAAAACCTCCAAAGGAGGAGAGCCCACCACCTCCTCCCAAGGAAGCCTGTTCCGCTGAAGAACTGCTCTAACTGTCAGGAAGTTCTTCCTAATGCTTAGCCGAAAACTCTTCTGATTCAATTTCCACCCGTTGCTTCTGGTCCGACCTCCTGGGGCAACGGAAGACAACTCCACACCATCCTCTACACGACAGCCCTTCGAGGATTAGATACTAAGACAGGATCTTCGGGAGATCCTTGGAACCTCCAAGCTTTGGGTCTCTTGAATGCATCGCAGGCGCCCTTCCCCTGAGCTGAGCGGCGGCCGGGTAACCGGCACCCACCTGGCTCCGTAGACGTAGAAGCAGTAGATGTGGAAGGTCAAGAGGGCGATGATGTCGGAGAGGATGGACAGGGCCACGGTCAGGCCGAGGCAGGCCGACAGGCCGACGTACCACAGGATCATCTCGATGAATGGAGACATCAGTTGGATGTAGCCTGGGAGGGAAAGGCAGGCAGTGCTGGAAAGCGTGTCTCCTCCCCTGTTCACCGGGGGGGGGGGGAGGATTCCTGGAACACGTGTGGAAGCCCCCCCCTTCAGGCAGCCCCGACCCCCCCCCCGATCTCCATCACCCGCAAAGAGTGAGCGCAAAACCCACCCATTCATTTCACACATTTATTAGCCAACTCAATGTAAATCAAGCAACAGCATGTGGAGGAGTGGGGAATCAAGAGCAGCGCAGGGAGAGAAGGCCCCCCCCCGTCTGGGTCTCCCGCCAGTAGCCGCTCCCGATGGCTCCCCAGCACGGCCAGCTCCCCCAAACGCAAACGCTAACGCGATGCCAGCCCCAGTAACAAGGAAGAGTCAGCATCCATCTCAGAGCCTGCGAAAGGGGACCAAGGCCCAGCGGGCCCGCCCTGGACTAGAGGAAAGTGCTCGAGCGGGGATGGATCCAGCCCAACAGGGCTACCGACTGGCCCGCCGTGGTTCAAACGCCCCCGCAACGCCGGTACTCCCGTTCTCGCCCAACGCATGTCGGCTCACCGTACTTGGAAAATATGAAACGCTAATAGCTGACTGACGCGCCACAGGATGGAGCTGGGAGGATTTTGGCCGCAGAACACGTTCTCTTGTGGTTCCCCCCCTCCCTTCGCTTTACTTTGTCAGGACCCACAGCCAATCACTTCAGCAGCAAAATTTCCTCTAAGTTGAGTTAGCGGTGAGCCAGCTCACAGTTTCTTAGCCTCCGGCTCACACATTTTTGTCTCAGCTCAGGAAGGAGGGCTCCGGAGCAAACTAACTGATGCAGCAGCCAAATGGCTCGCTCACAACTTTAAGGTCAGTCGCTCACCGAGTAGAATTTTTGCTCACAGGACTCCACAGCTTAGACGGAGCCTTGGAGGGGGGTGACCAGGACACCAAAGGGCTCTTGCAACAGTATGAAATAATATGAAAAACACAACGGCAGCTCTCATACATTCTTTGAGCTGTCAACATGAGACACCTGAGGTAGAGTTAAGCAGATAAGATTCAGGTGGGGTAGCCGTGTTGCTCTGAAGCCACAGAGCAAAATTTGAGTCCGGCAGCACCTTTAAGACCAGCAAAGTTTCATTCTGGGTATAAGCTTATGTGGGCATGCCCACTTCTTCAGGTACAGTGAAACCAACTTCCTCGAGCCTTACACATAGGTAGAGAGGTTCAGGTGGGTAGCCATATTGGTCTGAAGCCACAGAACAAATCAGTTGCTGTAGACCATGGCCACACCACCCGGGGAATCTACAGCAACGAATGAACTCCGGCCGTGAAAGCCAACATATACAACAGAACAAAGTCTGACTCCAGCGGCACCTTTAAGGCCAACAAAGTTTAATTCTGGGAATAAACGTCCGTGAGTGTGCACACGCGCAGGAAACCCAGGATTAAACTTGGTTGGCCTTAAAGGTGCCGCTGGACTCCAACGTTGCCGCAAGGCAGACTCGCAATGCTTGCACTGCTCCGTGAAACTCACTGGGCCAGCGCCTGGAATCCAGACACCGAGTGTGCATGTGGTCCTCCCCCTCCCCCCCGGATCAGTTGTTGGAGTAGCAAGTGCTGCTTCGATGGCCAGCCACAGTCAACGGGGCATGCCCAGCCCAAAGGCCTGACACTGACCCCTGACCACATGACACGGGTGTGGGCGGAAGCCCCAGGCTCAGGGGTCGTTTCCTGCAGGAGCGCACAGGAGCGGAGCTCCGGCAGTAAACAGGCCAGGGGGCGGGCACATGCAACAAGCCCCGCCCCCTGCTCCCAGCAGGGCTCACCATACCGTGGAAGGACCATCCCACCTAGAAAGGTTATGTGCATGCCCATTAAGGGAGGTCAATTCCCTTGAGTATATGTTCCTTGGTTGTCCATATTATAAGGAGGCTCGTTCCTGACTCCGTTGCTGGGTAAGATTCCTGGTTGCACATGCAAAGCCAGGCTTGACTGCCTTTTATCTGATAAGAACTCTAAGATCACTTATCAAGTAGCTAGGTTTTGTGCGCTGATACTGAGGCTACGGAAACTGTATTTCAGTTAGGTTTTACACTCTGATCTTTTGTTTTTGTGTATTTTGCATTCTGTTAACGTTCGTAAAAACTTTTATTGTAACTATATGTATATGGCTGGTCTAGCGACCATCATAGATCCTGAAAGAAAAGAAAGAGTGACTGTAACAATTTCATGTTTAACTCTGTGTGTGTGTCTTTAAAAGTTTGGATGCATGGCTGTATGATAGTCTAGAGTAGTAGAAACAAGCAAGTGGTGTGATTGGTGAGTGACAGAGAGGGGGAGGGGTTTTGGAAATAGAAAAAGCCCAGCAGGAACTCACTAGCATAATAGGCCACACCTAACAGCAGAAACTCATTAGCATATTAGGCCACACCCCTGACAGCACAGCTCATTGACATATTAGGCCATTCCCCATGTTACCAGAAGTGTGCTCATCCAGCCACACCCACCTTTTACTTCTTATTCTGTTTACCCTGTTTGTTTTCAAAACCCAGGGCTTTTTTGTAGCAGGAACTCCTTTGCATGTTAGGCCACACACCCCTAATGAAGCCAATCCTAATGAGTTTCTGATGTTGGGTGTGGCCTGTTATGCTAACGAGTTCCTGCTGGGCGTGGCCAACTTGGGAGCCAGCCAGAAGTCCGTTCCTGTGCGTTCCTGCCCCAAAATAGCCCTGGTTCTTATCCATCCCACCCCCACCCCCCATGCGCGACACACAGTGCCCAGGGCAGGGAAGTTCCCTCCCTGTGAAGGGGGAATGTGCTTTCTGAACATCCTCAGTTATGGGGATGCAACCTACACATGTATCCGTTCATTTGGAATGCTTAAAGGTTGTAAACACATAAGGATTACTAGCTGAACCTCAGGACACACAGTGGAGGAGTTGAGGCAGGATTCACTGCTCAAATGACTGCTGCAAATTGGCCCAGAGAAGTGTTTTGCGGCTGTTCAGGAAGGCGAGGAGGATTCATTTTTAGTAAGAAAAAGACCCTGTTTTCAGGAAACGTCCCGACTTCTCTGATCTACCACACATAAGTCGTGTTTTTTTTTTTTTTAATTGAGGGGTTTGGGGTAAAGAAAAA